ATGTTCACAGATTTCAACAAGCAAGGAAGAAAATAACATTTAAAAACTTGAAGAAAATAACAGATTGACGACGGACGCTTTGTCGTTATTAATCAAGCTGTCCGATTTGAAAAAGCATCATCTTATACAACTTTAAACAGCTGAGATAAACTTACGTATAAATATGCTTCACGTTTTTATAAATAATAAAAAAACACTCATTTAAGAACGGAAATTTAATGAAGTATGGCACAATTTCCCTGGAGGCAAGCAAATGAACATATCACAAAACATAAAACTGTGTAGCCCATGGTTACAGATTTCAATAAGCAAGGACAATAAGTGATTGAAGAGGGATAATTAATTATTGTAATCGACGGTTACAACCCCCTACGTATTTATTTAGCATACGACAATGTTATTGATGGCGTTTCTTGACATTTGGTATAATATTTACAATAATAGTAATTGTTTTTCCTTGCGTGCCGACGCTTTGTGAACACTAGGCCATACGAAAATATTCAGCATATTCAAATATAAGGAATTGTAGATAGTCTTTTATGAAAAAAAACTTTTTTATTTTATCCTGCTGAGCCTTTTACTTTAATCAATAACTCAATGCTTTTTCAATTCCAGCCATCAAAGAATTTTATTAAAGTCACTTATAGACGATGACAGCTTATAATCCCCCCTTCATATTTAGGTCGCTTTGACAACCTGCAAAACGGCGATTTCAGCATTATCCACGATCTTACCTTTAAATGAAAAAAATTATAACAAAAGAGCTTCATGTTGAACTTCCTTCGGCACAACTTGAGAAGAAACGTTTCTGCCGGAGTTCCTCAGGGGTAATCTTTTGGACCAGTTTTATTTCCACGTATATTCCCTTAAATGCGGTTTGGGCTACAGTAAAGAGCCAGGTGTAACAAGCGTTAATATTCAACTGTCTTCCTTTTCAAAAGGAATGCCATTTGTCTACAGCCAGATGAAGCATTTGTCAAGAAGCACGTTGAATAAGTACATCAATACCTACAGACGGATGCAGTGAGTGTGAAAAAGTTGGAACAGGTAAATCAACAACATTCGCAAGGGATCGTATGACAGTTGAAAATGGATCAAGTACAGCATCAACAGAATCAACGCAGAATAAAACGTCGTTTGTTTATAGTTAGATGAAGCAAATGCTAAGTTGCAGGCTGAGCTTTGTCCAAATTGTCAGATTTATATATGTGGTCTGTGGATAATGAATCTGTAATTGGGTACCATAAAATCAATAAAAGAGACTTGACTTCATAGAAATCACAGGCTCAGAACTGAAGATGGCGAAATGCTGAAACCTGACAGACCAGGATGACAAGTTTATTGAGTGCTTCATTGGCTGTAGAAAAACGACTTTCCTTTCTGTTCGAAAACGAAGACAGTTGAATATTAATGCTTCTTACACCTGTCTCTTTATTCATTCTAAATTTTACAGTAGACAAAACTTGAATACACGTGAAAATAATGCCAGCCCAAAAACATACCCCTGAGAAACTCCGGAATGAAATCACATAAACCCAGAACTAAAGGTGGATAAATGCCGAAACGCATCTGACAGACCAACACATAGGCAGATCAGGATGATCGGTAAATACCAAGTTAAAGATTATATCAAATGTTTCTGCCGGAGTTTCTCAGAGCTATGCTTTTGAACCATTCTCATTTTACATTACACCTAGAGATATTATGGTTGTTAAATACGTCGTACTTCTCCTTGGAGGCTGGCCAAGTAAACAAAAAATGATTTTTAATTAGTCTTTGTTTAATCACAACTAAACTATCAAATTCTCATATTTTGGTTTCTAGTGCTGCGTTAAGCTTTTTTTAAAAAATATTAATCGCTTTGTTATAACCCTTCTTCCCAGTCTATCTACAAATTCTGACCGAGACTCCTTCCCTCGTCCTACGCGCTTTGTAAACGTCTTCCTCCGTGCATCATCAAATTTATAGTTTCATTTCCGTGCAACTCACGTAAACCCGCTTTCCATACAGTCATCTTCTGTCCTCCAGTTACAGCCTATTAGTACAATTCTCCATCCCCATTTCATCTCAGTTATTTTCTTTCTTCATTTTAACCTCCGACGTAGTTCTTTAATTGGGACGCAGAAGGCCGAGATATCTTATCATTTTCATAATGCAGAATAGAACAGGCAAAACCCATTTTTATTCACCAGCCTCATTTATTCCGTGTTATTCTAACATATCTTTACTCCAAGTACGTAATGTTTCCTGTTGCAATTCCTCAAGGTCCTGTTTTCTTTGATGAATTTTAGTTTTCGTACATATCACTTAACTAAACTCAAACAGTCGTACTTCATGGAGGCTAGTTCTACTTAAGACCGCCAGAAAGAGAAAACAAACCAGTGTTTTTCAATTATAGTCTTCATTCAACATATTCAAAGAATCAAATTTCCTACCAGAGTTCCTCAGTGTTCTGTTTTTGGACCGGTTTTAGTTTTTATACATTTCACCAAAATAAAGTCAGTCATATTTCTTAATAGAGGTTAGTCCAATAAAGAAAACCATCAAAATTGACAGAAAAGTATTACTAGAAGACTGCCCTTCCTCAAGGCTCTCTTTTTGAACCAGTCTTATTTTTATAGATACAAATGTGGAAAACGTCGTAACATCCCAACTATATGACCAATAATGAATGTCGTCTCGAATAAATTTATAATTCTGAATCTCGTGAATAATCTTTCTGCACGTGTTCCTCAGGCGTCTGTTTTCGGACCAGTCTTATTTTCTATATCACACATTAACTACGATTAAGTTGCTGTTTGAGCCACCGTTTCAGCCAAGAAGAGAGTAACACGACTTCATAAGTGAAATTAAGCGGGCGGGTCAAAGAGATCTTGATTGATGGTTTTGAATCTTAACTGATAACAAAATTATTTTTAATTCTTATCGTAAAGGATTTATATTAAAATCTGACTGACGCACAACGACGGCTTATAAAAACCGGATCGATCCAATTTAGAGGCACGTTGTCGGGCAAAGGTTTCTTCTTTTGTTTGATTTTCTAACCAGCGAAACCCCAAAAGGGAGACATCGGTAATCTAATTCTGTTCAAGATTCGGACAATAAAAAAATCATAGAATTTTCATGATTTACGAATGAATAAACAATTTTTGACCTCTTTCACAACTTTATTCAGGATTTCTTCCAAGGTTTTGTTTAATAGGTCCTATTTGATATGCATTTAAGTTAAAGACTTCTTTCTTAATTCTACCTTCTTCTCCTTACAGGCCAAATTTTTCTTTAAGCTGCCGTATAATGCTGAATTCAATAAACTTCTAGAATAAAGAATAATATAATAAAACGTGAAAAATCAATATGCAATTAGCAATTACTAAAGCTATAAAAGTGCAGACCAGTGTTGTTCATTCATAACAGTTTTCAACGACAAAACTATTTTTGGATAAAATATTTGGCTTTCAATCAAACTCGGCTATAATTTTCCGCCTGTCGACACGAGCCGTATACGGTTTTAACATACGTACTAGTTTTTCACCGTATGTTTTATGCATGCAACATTTTTTCTTCAAAGAGAGGCAAATTTAGTATAATTTACGATATTATCATTGTGACATTGGAAAAGATAAAGCTTGAAGATTGATCTGACACCTTAGATGATTTATATTCGAGTATGAAATTTATTTATATTTATGCAAGCGATAGATGCAGTATGGTAATCGACTCGGGGTATAATTTTATTCACAAAAGATTCTACGATGGCAGGAGGGTGTTGTGCTAAGATTAATTTGACAACATACAATCTCAAGTTGAAATTGGTTAAGCTTTACAAGATTACACGGCATCAATCAATGGTCTCATCTTAAAGCCTCTTATTTTAGGATTATCTGACAATTTTATAATTAGTTTCGGAAGCTTAAAGCTAACTAGGCTAAATGTGTGTCCGTTATTACTATATTTATTTTTATTGTATATTTTTGCATATTTTTAAAGTTACTACTGGATTTTTTAAAGAAGAAAAAATGTTTTCCATTCAGAAAAGACAGAAATTTACGGAAATTCTAATATATATAAAATTGTATTCTCGACTCTTTTGCGTAATTTAATTTTTTATTGTTTCGCAGTAATAAATATACCTAACAGTCTAACGTCAATTAATTTGTTTTAAAAACTCATTTTCTCCATAGTGTACATTTCCTTTGTCTCTTTGCTTTGACTTTCTTCGTCTTTATGTAGATCGTCCGATATTCTCTCTTTTTATCTTTCACTTTTATTTCTTTACCGCTCTGACGTTTTATTTTCTTTCATAATTTTCTTTTTTATCTATTCTATGCTTAACTTTACTTCTGGGCCCATACTATTTATCTATCAGTCTCCTTCCCTCATTCTCCCCCTTTCATCTCTCTTCTTTTATGTTTGCCTCTTTATATATAAAAATCTTTTCTCTTTTTTTCATTTTAATTCTCTATACCTAAGATTCTGTCCCCATCCTTTTCCGCCCATACACACTTTCTCACCGGTCAGCCGGTGGTTCAAACAAGGTATGTGCTTGTTTCTGTTTTTTCTCTCTCCTTTGTATATTATTTATTACTCTCCTACTTGCCCCTCTCCCTAACCTAACGCATCTCTAATCCTACGTAACCTAACCGAGAAAATGGTCATGGCAAGAAATCTGTGTACCCTGCCCAAAAAGGCACTTTAATATTTTGTCTTACTATTTTCTGGTTGGCTTCTCTTTACCATAATGACATTATGACTATTTGTCTGTCTATAACTAATCAAATGTATCGTACAGACTTTTTGACAATCACTCTACATTCAAAATTGTCTTGATCTTTTCATCTTTCCCTAAATATCTTACAATTTTACATTACTATAATGCTTTGCTTCCTTAGCTGTTCTTCGTCTTCTCACACAGAGATTGTCTTTTACAATATATCATGGAGTGTACAAGCGACCTCATCCAAATTTGCTAATTAAGTTGTCACCAATAAAAAAAAACTTACCAATCAGATGACCCTGGTAGAGGTGCGACGTGTCGTGAGGGAGGTGCCGTCCCGCGGAATCGACTACCTCGATGTGTTGGCTGAATGTGTCCGTATCTCTTTTCAGCCTGAGTCGGAAGGAACGTCCATGGGCACGGAAGGACAGCTGGACGGCGGCCTCCCGGTTGGAGACGGCTGATCTTTTGGCTCGATGGTGGGCCGAGAGGGTCTCCTCCCTCGAGTAGGCCGCCTCCTCGTAGTGCGAGATGTACTCGTTCAGTCGGTTCGCTGGAAAAAAAAAGAAAAGACTTTTAAACTTTCTTGCACGAAGTTCAAACGGCGTTGCCAGAAGAAGCAAGCCTTAGAAGATAAGAAAAAATACATAAATATTCGATCATCATCCATTTTGCAAGGAAGGGATGCTCGCTGACTATTGTCAAATGGAGCAAGGGTTAACAGGAACGTCGAAGAGGGATGGTTGAGTTTTTTTTAAAGGATGGTTTGGGAAAAGCATCAACATTCAGCATACATTTCGCAAGGAACGGAATACCATAATTACAATCAGTATACAAAAAGTATGTGGAACTATACAGCATCAATTATGCTTGTTTTGCAACATCCTTTTATCAAGGAATATAATGCCAGTACTTGTTGTAAATGATATCCTATTCACAGAATTATAATTAATTATGTGAGTAGAACCATCATTTACAAAAAGTGAATCTACATACTCACCCCAATTTTACTATTTCTATACAATACCTACCGGTATCCCACGTCAGATACAGTAAGTTCTGCGTACAAGTTCATTAACATTTTGTATGTATAAATCATGCTTTTAACATAATTTCGCCTTTGAAAAAAATCAAACTAAACTAAATCGAGAACAATCGATAGCACTATCGATACCTAACGATAATGATTCTATATCTATTCATAGTTTTTCAAATATCTAGGCACATACTATCGGTATGATATAAAAAGAAATGTAGGGGGTCTAGGACTAGGTTTATAGTCTTGATTGTACATTTTCAAAATATCGATACCACTGCCGCAAGGATGCATTCTAAGTCCAAACTTGTTATGACAATTTTTTCACACCATGCCTTAAATAAATGTGAATAAAATTAAAACTCCATATTTTTTAAAGATATTTCTATTTATTAAATAACACGTTTCTTCTACACCGACGACATATCGATTAATAAAACAAAAAGAGCGAAACTTGCCAGTTTCTATCCAAAAAAGGAAAAAGTATTATGAGAGATGGAATTTGTTGACTCATTTAGTAAAGTTCAAACGGAACAAACCTTCCAACTTCCCGTCAGCACCACAGTGTCCGCACACAGCCTAGAACTTCAAGGCAACTTCTGACAGAAAAGCATATTTGCCTCAAGTTCATATCCCAAGTTCTGAGAACTGTAGCAACGAAGGGGAGCACATCACAGTCAGATATGCCTCCAGATTTCGTATCTAATTATCCATTATTACAAATTAAACGACGGATTTTTGAAACGTGAAAATTAGTATGTTTGATTAGTCCATCATTGTCTATTCTTGAATTTTCACTTTGCTTTATCAATTTCTGCAACTGACAAAAGTCTGAACGTCCATGTCCATCGAAACCGATTGGAAAACACAGGTATTTAATTTCCGTTTCATCGATATCAGTTACTCGCGACACCAACGAGGCTAATAATCTGGAAATAAGATTGCTAAGTTGTGTTTCTTGGACTGTGGCCATTTCCCGCCCTGCTAGTTACGTTTTGCTGACCTTCCGCTTTCCCCGTCACACCCCCGTTCACAGGATCACGAGTCTTTTCATCCCCTTCTAAAAAAGGAGGCGGTGAGTAAAAAGGGGTTTACCGCTCGTGTGACAATAAGCTCGCGTTTATTGCCCTGCAAATAATTTATAGGACAGTTTAGATTTCCTGCGGTGGAAAATCGAAAGGGAAAACTTCCAAGAAGTCAAACTGAGTGTAATAAAATCAGAGTTATGTCTATAAGACCGTTATTTAATTATTTCTATAACAATGTCTTTTCAGATTTTTATTAGAAAATCTTTAAAAACATTTGCTCCATTTTTCTATATAATAATTGAACATTGATCGGGACAGTTATAAAAATAACACCTTAGGGTAGTCCCCAGAAATGGAAGAAATTAGCGTTTTGCTTCTCCCTGCTTATAACCCTGACGCTGCTTGGCATGTGCGAATACTGTACATTTCTTGACAGCGCCTACAAGAATCGAAAGTACCCTACTTATATCTGATTATTTTGAGATTGTGAGATGCGGTCTGGTGATATCTAAGTTTAGAAAAACTTTTCATTATCGTGCCAACGATTCGATCTTTATTGAGATCATCTTCAGGGCCTACTTATATCCTTGATGTCGTTCAATCTGCCTACCTTTTTACAAACAAATATTTTTAATGGGATTGTACTTGTTTTTTGAGCAAGGAAATTTTGGTCTCGAAAACGAGGTTGTCGCAAATTTAAGTAAAGATTAGTAAGTCTGAGTGAAAGATAGTTAAAAATCTTGATTTGCTTAATGATTGATTGGATAATTATAACCATAAGTTTTTATTTGGCAGTTTTATAGAATATATGAACCAAAAACCCCGCTTAGATCAATTGGAATAGAACAATGAGGCAGTTTATGACAGAGACAATGCTCGTTCGGAAGAACTGGAAGGAGACTTCCCTCTTCCTGCTTATAACCCTGATGGACTTCTATTCTTCCTTCAAGGGATTTTTTTTTTAAAATGGAATGCATCTTAATTTTTTAATACGAGGAGTTTTTTGGTAGTATCCGCACAAACGAAGTACTAAAACAAAATTCTGAGTGGAAGGCAGTTAAATGAGCAAGAAATGTAACAAGTCCTGCCTCATCCTGTTTATAATCCTGAAGTCTCGCCATCTGAGTATGGACTTGAGTTCTTTTTTCAAATGAACATGTTTTGACAACGGAACGGCTCTTAAATTTTTAATGCGAGAGATTTTTAGGCAGTATCCTCACTAAAACAAAATTTTGAGAGAAAGATGACATTTTTAATTTGCACTGCACGAGATTTCACTTTTATACAAATTAACTTATCAAAATATTCCTCCGTGAAATCAAACGGAAGAAAACAAAGCAAAAATGCCACTGTTTGACAGGCAAAATAGGCGGAACTTGAAGTCAATTGTTGCCACTTCCTTTTCATAATCCTGACAGTGTGGCATTTTGAAAATTCAAGAGTTTTTTGAACACATTTAAAAATGATCATACCCAGGCTATGAAAGGGCGAGTTTTATACTTAATTGTGCTGTAGAAAGTAAATTTAACATGATTAGCAAGGTTGAATGTGAGAAATGTGCTGAAACGAGAGGGGACATCGCACCTGTTAAAGGCAAACCTGGCATCAAGATTTATAATACGTTTTAGATTCCAGTTTCAAGTCTAATCTCAATTTTGGATAATATAAATTTTTGGATTCACAGATTTTTTTATATTCTAAAATAATGGAACATATTGAATTGAGATCTCTTCAAATTTCTCTATGTGCAGGAACATCAGAGTTACCAAATACAACTTTAAACCTCCAATGTTGAAATTGCAGAAACTGGACCAATTTCTATTGTTTTAATAAGCTGGCATATTTACAGTTTCGAAGAAAAATTCTCTCTGGCTTTTGGAACTTCTAACAACTCCCACTAGTACTTTTTAGCCAGTTAAACAATAATTTCAAACCAGCGATTGTTTGAATTTAATTTACTTTAAAATAAGTATTTTAACAAGAATAGGAGTATTTTTTTTAAAATAATTTAAAGGCTGAAACCTTATTGGTCATTAAGCCTTGAGTCTGTGCAAGTCAACGGCGCAGCCCGGCCCCCTCAGAGCGAGGCCCCCGCAGACCGCGGCGCAGTGGCAGCCCCAGGCCTAGAAAGAACGGAACCCCATGGATCTCTCGCAACTGATGCTTTTAGTCTTAATATTGCGCGCAGGACTTTATCGAGGAGGGGTCGGTGTCTAGTCACCATCGACACCTCCTCTAAGCTCGCTGGAGATTCCTTGACCTCAGAGTCCGGGGAGGCACCCCTCAATCCAGCCCAAGACAGACCAGCACCCGAGGCTCCCCGCACGGGCATCGCCAGAAGTCAGCCGCACCACACCGCAAACATGGGGAACCAGCAAAGGAAACAAGAGTTGAGGGGACGAGATATCAGATTTCATCAGTTAGTTGGATGTCTGTTAAGAAGTTAAAAATTTTGTTTATTGATGTTGAGTTGTTGCTTAGTATGGATTGGAGGTCTTTGGGAATCTGATGGAGGGATCTTTTAGAAGTGTATAAAGGACAATCTATTAGGATGTGGGATATTGTGATGGTAGTTTTACAGAGCGGACATATAGGTTTAGGAGTTCTTTCAAGTAGGAATCTATGGGTGAGTCGGGAGTGGCCAATTCGAAGCCGGGTTAGGAGGGTTTCTTCTTTTCGGGAGGGTCTGGAAGAGGATTCCCATTTCTTTACATCTTTCTTTATTGCGAGGAGCTTGTTTCCTGTGCAGGCACCCCATTCACACTTCCATGCCCCCCAGATGAGCCGCCTAAAGTGACAGCAGAGGTCACTGAAGGGGACCCCTCCGTGAGGAATACCATTCAAGACTGCCTCTCTCGCCATACGGTGCGCCTTCTCATTTTCAGTTATTCCAGCGTGGCCTGGGATCCATTTGAATAATACTTCTACACCTACGTCTTGATAATGCTTTAACTTTGCAAGAATATTGTAGATGTCTGGGTTTAGGGAGAATGTGTTTTTTAGTTTGGTGAGTGCTGAAAGAGAGTCAGAACACATAATTAGGGTGGTACGGGACATATTAATGATGTTAATTGCTTTGAGTATAGCTAGGAGTTCAGCAGTAAAACTAGAGCAATGGTGATTAATGGTGATTAGTAGGCGGAAACGATATACTTGTGACTCACAGACAACAGCAGATCCAGTTCCATCCTCAGACCTGGATCCGTCAGTGAAAACAAAAACTGCTTCTGAATGTGTAGATTTGAACATTAGAAATTCATTCTTAAATATATACAGTGGGGTACGATCCTTATTGTAAGATGAGAGTGAGTAGCAAATGGAAGGAGTGGGGAGGGTCCACGGGGGATGGGGATGTATGCGATTTTTGGACGTGAGGGACTTCAATTTTGTAATCTGTTAGGGGTATGTGGATTCTTAGTGGGAAGGAAAAATAGGAGTATTAACATCATCATAAGAAAATATATTTCACCACCTATACCGTATCACCAA